TAAGCCCTTAAGAACTATGAGTTCAATCCTCATTGGGCACCCTTTTATATACACTTCTCTTTATTAAGCTTAATCTTATTGACTCACCTTTGTGCAAAATGCATTACATGTACTTAGAAGGCACGACATCCTGTGCAAAATCATCATGCAAGGCACCGTTGAAGGTGGACGTAGGAGAGGACGCCAACCCCAAAACTGGTTGGACAATATCAAACAATGGACAAGTATGACTATACCAGAATTGCAGATGGCTGCTGCTGTTAGACCGTTGTGAAGGAGATTTAGTGTGGCTTCTGCATTCAGATTACACAATTACAAAAGTCAAGAGGGGGGGGTGATTATTATTATTATTATTATCATTACTACTACTACTGCATATACCCAGGGATAAAGTTGTGTGGCATCTAGTGAGGGTACCCTATCAGATTTGTATCCCATTTTTTACGGAAAGCAGCACCCACATTTTGCTCCCGGGAAGTTATATCTTGCACTTTAAAAACAATGTCACTTCAGGATGTTAATGATTATGGACCTCTACAACGTCCTTTTCCTTTGTAATAACTATATTGCCATGACTTCTTCGAAACATAGTGGAATGATTTTCATTTGACTTGGACGTGCGGGTGGTGCAATGGATAGCGGCTTGGAATGAGAAATCGGAGATCCGATTTCGAATTCATGTTGGACTCGTTATGTTCACATAATTTTGGGAAAGATATGAATCTATCCTCCAGCTGTGGGTTAAATATTAGCACTTGTGTCTGGAAAAATTGCTATCGTTATTATAAAAAAAAAAAATTAATACTATATTCACTTGTAAAAAAATATATCTTACAATCCAAAATATGTTTGGGATTTAAATAACTCACAAAAATTTGATAAGCCGTAAATATATCAATACCATTGTCATTTTCGTAGTTTTTGAATCTGTAGTTATTATTCTAATCTGGTTGCCAACCATGGTTAGAGAGCCCAATCAATTCTGATATATAGTTGGGTGGGGTGTGGAGAGGAGGTAAAAGAGGGTTCAAGTCTTTTGCAAGGGCATCAGTGTGAAATGAACACAAACTATTTCAGCTGGGAACTGAACTCTGCTCGTGGATTCCATTTCACACTCCCGTAACCGTTAGGTCACCTGCTCTTCCGGGGATATTTAACCTTTAGCCCATTGCATTAATAATATTACTTCCCTTTCCACTGTACTCTTTTTCAAGGCCTTTTATTCCTAATCTATCTCAAACATGTTTTCTGTTGTCGTAGCAGGATATGACAACACAACTATGAAATTCAAAAAATTCAAATTCATGGAGTCACCTTCAATACCAGGATAAACCTTTTATGCAGCAAATGAAGTCTCATTGTGATAAGGTGCGATAAGGTTTTAAAGCATTTAGTTTCGCCGATTAAACAGAGGATGCCATTCGTAATGCATTATAAAGATTTCATAGTTACTCAGTTTAGCTTATTACAGCAAAATAGGAAAGATTGTGTTGCGCTCGGCGAGGTTTCGAATCTTACCGATTAATCTGGAGTCGAAGACTGGCCACTAGTGTCTATAAATGATACTCGACCACCTAAAGCCCGATATTTACTAAGTTTTGTCTTGTCGGGCACAAGGTAACAAATGTAGAACACCTAATGCGAATCAGACTCTGATTTCATTTAATTTTATTTGCTCCCCCTTTCCTGCAGTCGCTGTTCGATCATTCTAGTTCTTTTTAGGAAGTTGGGGGCAAAATTATTTGGGGGGGGGGCATTGTTAGTTCTTTGTTGAATGGGGGCACAGAATTGGAATCACTCTTTAAGTCTGTCCTGCTGCTAAATGACTGACAAACTCTTTGGATTATCGATTAGTCAATATTGATAGCGTGTATGATTAATAATTGATTAATTGTAAGAAGCGTATAAGTAATCGAGCCCCAAAAATATCTCTGAGCAAAGAAAAACAAAATAAATAAATAATAAACTAACTAAACAAAATAAAAAAAATACAAAGCTCTCGTGCCAAAAATGAAATAAAAATCGTAGCCAACCTTAAAATAACCCAAATTCTTAAAAAAATGATTTTACAACGAAAACATGTTTCTATTCTTTTCAACAAAACCGTTACCAATTCTCTAAAAACAAATAAATTAATTAATGAGAAATGAAGCTGAAAGTAAATACTAGTGAAAGATTAATAATAATGGCTGACAATGAATGCTTCATCTAATAAAAAATTGATCCGGAGTTATTGTTCTCCTAATCTGGTTGCCAACCATGGTTAGAGAGCCCAATCAATTCTAATATATAGTTGTATTTAGTGGGGTTCAAGTCTTTTGCAAGGGCATCAGTGTGAACGGAACAGAAACTATTTCAGCTGGGAATTGAACTCTGCTCGTGGATTCCATTTCACACTCCTGTAACCGTTAGGTCACCTGCTCTTTCGGGGATAGTTAACCTTTAGCCCTCTGCATTGTTACTTCCCTTTCCACTGCATTCTTCTTCAAGGACTCTTATTGCTAATCTAACTCAAACTTGTTTTCTGTTGCTGTAGCAGGATACCAATTCTCGGAAAACAAATAAATTAATGAGAAATTACTGTAGCAGGATACCAATTCTCGGAAAACAAATAAACTAATTAATGAGAAATGAAGCTGAAAGTAAATACTAGTGAAAGATTAATAATAATGGCTGACAATGAATGCTTCATCTAATAAAAAAATGAAGATGAAACTAATTACTAGTGAAAGTTGAATAATAATGACTGACAATGCTTCATCTAATAAGACATGAAGCTGAAAGTAAGTACTAGTAACCTCTTCGTCACGGAGGCCCGTTAGTATGAGGCTTGCGTCGTGTCGTAACGGTCCGGGTTCGATTCTTGGTAGTGGATGCGCACTGCTGATGAGTCCCAAATATAGTCCAGTACTTCCTGCATTCTGTTGAAGATTCTTCTAAACTCAATGAATTACTTTTATTTTTATTCTCTCTCTCTCTCTCTCTCTCTCTCTCTCTCTCTATATATATATATATATATATATATATATATATATATATATATATATATATATATATATATATATATATATATATATGTGTGTGTGTGTGTGTGTGTGATGAGAACAGGTAAAGTAAATTATAATGTTCGTAACATTTAATTTAAAAGGGAGCTCAATACAGACAAGAGCAATATTATTTATTTTAGGATATTACACTGAAAATATGTAAAAAATCTCTACACAGTTGCATATCAATACATCTCATCAGTATAATGATGACTGATAAGATGTATTCATATGCACCGAAACACGACTGCAATTTTACATGTTTTCGGCGTAATATCCTACAATAATACACATACACACACATATATAAGTTTCGTTAAAGACACTTTACAAGGTACTGCGGTTAAGTTTTTTTTTATTTAATTTCTCTTGTGTTCGTCTAAGTGTTTTCTTTTCTGAACAGAAAGTGTGTAAAAGTTGTCCAAATGTTCTGCATGTCAGTGCGTTTTCGGCTATTCTATTTATAGCTCAATTAGAATTCATTTGAACACACATGGAAATCTACCAAACTCCAACCGCAACATACTTGTGGAAGACACAAAAATCATAGCCCCAGGCACATGTAAATAATTGAAACCATAATAATAATAATAATAATAATAATAATAATAATAATAAAACACTCAATAACAATGTGCTGACCGTGTTTGGGAAATAAAACATTCCTATAACTCAAGATACACGCATAAAATAATCTATACATTCAGTTAAAAATAAAAGATAAAAATCGTCCTTGATATGTTGTTATATAGAAATAAAGTTTCGTTGCCAACACTTGATTTTGAACATAGATCGCCAGTGAGAAAACACAGGCGATCCCATTATTGAATTAAGTAGACCACGTGACCATAGAGGAAACGCATATATAGGAATTAGCTTTGCGTCTAAATGATCCTCATTTCTAGTCTATCCTCTTTTATCATTATGATTTCCATTTCTAGTCTATCCTCTATTACTATACGGACCGCTATTCTCTACTCTATTCACTATACTATTTCTCTATTTATATCACTATACGGATTACTATTCGAACGAGTATTATCGAGTAAGTACTATTAGTGCGTGTGATATTCGAAGGCGTCTGACTCTCGCATTGTTTAACGGCGTTACTATAGTTGTATCTGCGATTAGAAAGTCTCTACTACAACGAGCATTACGAAAGTGACAACGGGTATTCGCTGACATTATAAAAGTGACAACGAGTGTTCGTTGATATCAAAAATAAGAGTTAAAGGAACCCATTGTGTGTTAGTAGCTTTGCAAGGGATGAAATGATTAAAAATATATGTAAAAATAATCATAATCTTCACCTAGGCATGGATCCAGATTTCTTTACAGGTTTTTAATTCCGATGGTATTTCGATTAAAGTTATAAACAAAGTTGCTATTTTTTATTCTCCGTTGTTAAATCTATTATTAAGTGCAGATGTTATTCCATGGCAGGCGCCACCATCTCTTTGGTCGAAACCCTGTTGGTTCTCGACTGGGGAGACGGTAGGTTTTCCCGACGGTCAGCTGTTTTTCTATTCGTAGATAACAAATCATTTATCTGGGACACCACCCGCAACGACACCTCCACGAATGGCAATCTGATCACATCGGCCACTTCGCCTGGGTCCATTGCCCGACACGCAGAGGGACGAAGAATAGGAAAATAAAGTTTGATGTCCAACAGACGCAAATTTGTGCCGGTCGTGGTTGGGAAGTCAGGCATTATTTGTTGCCGATATGCTAAACCTATTTGTCAAACAGATACCATGGCCGCTCAACTCAATAGCCAAGCACGAGAAACTTCCTGGTTATTTTAAAGGATTTCTTTAGCAGTCTACAACAGGGGTCGGAAACCTTTTGCTAACTATGTGCCTACTTAGGGCCTATGATATTTCTAAACATCGCTTTTTAAAAGAACAAACATTTTTGCGGACACAAAGGTCCAAGTTTGCTAAGTATTTA